AGCATTCAAATGAGGATCAGATGACCCCTTTCTAATTTTATAGCCTCCTCCTCCAGAAACAAACTGTTTCTACATCACATTTTCCCTACTTGTCATATTGTTATCAGCTGCTTCTATATCCCAAAAGAATACTAACTACTGATCGATGGCCCGGACATGTCTGGCCACGGCCTACATGTGCCCTGGGTAGTTCATCTGTTTGCCTTGGTGGATTTGTTAGAGTGGAATTTAATCAATAGCTAATTCATTAATTCTGGTCCTTGAGAATGTAGAGACTGCCTTGGACCAAGGCAGCTGACGGCTCTGGCTTTGACTGAAATATGACAAGCATCGCCGCTCTCAGTTTCACTGGGTACTGGGCTGCCTGTGAGGTTGGTTTCTTTAGTCTCCATATAGGGTAAGGTGAGACTAAAGGTAAGCAGGGAAGAGCTTTTATTACGTTACTGCTGGTATTCCAAATGCGTGATTTCCAGGCACAAGGCTCAAGGGGAAGCAGAGAGAAGGCAGCCTGCACCTCTCACTGCCTTGAATTGGAAGCGTGGCGGTTTTCTCCCGGGTCCCCATCAGTTTGGGGCTCTGTTATTGATGAGAAGGCTGGGGTGTAATGTCTTTGTAGCATTGGCAAATAATTGTTTAAAAATTTGCCTCGAGCACCTGAATGTTATCCGTGACAGATTCACATACCAACGCTACAGAAGTCTTTACGATAGCAGCTCAGCCTGTGTGTCTCCCAATGGAGGTTAAACATCTTTATCTTTCGTAAAGCCCCCTGTGTTTTCATAGTACTTAGCTCAGGGCTGACTGTGGTGTGAGAGGCCACAGTTTGTAGAAAAAGAGTCTTTCCTTTCTTTGCCAGACCAAATTTGAAATAAAACTTTGAAACCTCTGTATTTTTATGACCTTGGATATCAAGGAATCTTCTCTATCCTTAATTTTCCCTCCCTGATTTTTTCAGTGACTGACAACTTGAATGCAGGAGTTAATAATTTGACAGTTTCAAAAAATGAAGCCACGTTTGTTTTATCCTCCTACTAAGGAGAAGGTTGGTGTGTAGACGCCCAGTGTCGGATCACTTTTCCTCACCCACATTCTACACCTCCTCCCTCAGCAATACGGGCAGTGGGAGGCATCCTCTAGTTCGGGCTGGAAATCTCTGTTCGAGTCTTCGAAAGGTGTGGGGAGAACTCCTGAAAGAGATCATATGGAGGATGCAGATCAATTCTGCAGTCCTAATCATAATCACTTTCAGGAAATCTTATTGTTCTGGTGGCCAATGAATTCTGATTATTCAGTAGATTACTTGGTTAGGAGGAGACCTAACAGATTAATGAGCTTATTCTTAAGACCACCACCACCACCACTAGTTCCATTTCTTCCCTTCCCGCTCTTCCCCAAACTCCTAATTTCTCTGCCTTTTGTGGCTCCCACAGAAGCAGCCCAATGACTGAGGAGGCCTTTGTGTGCCTCTCAGCAAAATCCAGCTCTTCCAATTAACTTGGACCTTTAACTGCCGCTTTACACCGGACTCTCTGGACACACGTTGGTTTCTTTCATCGGTTCCATTCCGAATCCATTCCTTAATTGTCCTCGGCACAACAGCTCTCCCTCCCGCTCAGACAGCTCACATATCCGTACAGGTTCCTCACACTGATGTCTCAAATGCCCCGGCCCTGTTTCCGCCCGAGTTCGTGTCACATGTATGCAATTACCTGCTGACTTTCTGTCGCGATAGCCACCCATCGCTTCCATAGCCTCAAGCCTCAGCCCTTAATTCTCGGCCAGCTCATCTTTTCCAAGGTCACTTCCTGCAAATGGACCGTCATCCTGCATATTATCATAGGTGTAGGCATATGCCTTTGATTTTTTTAATCCCCTGCATTCACTAAATACCAGTTTCAGTGCATTTTCTTTTGGCGCATTTTCCGTATCCTTCTTCCCCCTTGCCACCACCACCACCCTAGTCCCTGCTTTCGTCGCTGAGTTTATGTGGCCATCGCAATTCGGCAAAACGCAAGGGAGGAGAGGCTTTACTGGGTGCCCGTGGCTTGCCGCCTTAAACATAATCTTGTGGAAGCCCTTTCCTCAATTCTTGAAAACCTTTCAGGAACATCTTAGGGATTTCAAATAATTTTTAGTTGTGAGGCTCACTTTGGTAATAAGATGCAGGATCAAGTATTAAAAAGTTTATTAAAATACTGAGCTCATGCACAGAACAAAGACTCTACTATTGCATGGGCTAACCTCCGCTCACTGCTTGCCCTGTCCCTCCTCCTCCCTCTTTTCTCCTGTCCCCTGTTACCCAAATGTGTCCCCACCCAGTGTTAGTATTTTCTTGCCATCACTGGGCGGCCATCAAGGCCGTCTCTGTGGCAGGTGACACTGTCCTGGACAGCTGCAGGCTTTCCTCGCGTGGCCCCTTGGGCATCTGCACAGAGCCCGCTTCCCTGACGTGAGCGTTGCCCTCTGTAGCTGGTCTCTGGTGGTGCCAACCAAGCAGACCACCTCAAAGACTCTTCTTGCTGAAGTCCCATAATCCACAAAGGCTGCCCTCCTGGTCACTCTGCACTCAGGGGGTGCCGTCCTGGAAGGCATCTGCTGGCTCATGGACACTCAGTCGCCTTCACCATGCCAAAGACTGATAGTGAGGCTCTCTCGCCTTCCCGTCCTTGCAGCTACCCTGGAAGGTACCCAGCTGCTGGAATTCTCTAACAGAGAAGCAAGCCCCTCTTCTGTGGCCGTATTGCCTGGTGAACCCCCGTGTCAGCCTGTCCCAAAACTCCCTGCTAAGCTTCCTTTTAGGGATAGCAGCCGACTGGACGTTTCAAATTGTCGGCCGAAAGCTGTGTCAGTGTCCCTCTCGTTGGTTCTAGTGACAGATGGAGAGGGATCAAACCCGTGACTCCTGGATCGTTTATTTTCATGTACCTGACTCAGATCCTCAAAAGCATAACTGTTGATGTTATTGTTAAAAACATAGGTGGTCTCACTTCAGTTGTGCTGTGCAAGAAAGAAGTTACAAGGGCAGGTGTTCCACGTGTGTTTTCTAGTCTTTACTAATACACTGGCTTTTGTGGACAAGTTAGACCCTTGAATGTCACTTAAATTGTACTCTTTTCTGTATTGGTTCTGCAACAAGTACCAAAAAGGTATCTGAAAATGTGACATTCATTTTGAGACCTGGATGAAGACCCTAGAATAGCTACAGAAACCACCGAAGAAACTTCTCTCGGGGAGGATGTTTCCTCTCTGCAGAGTTTTATTAGTGAGTGCGTTATGAGTGTACCCCCATGAAAATGAAATAATGATTTCATTTTCTTTAAAAGCAGAATATAAGCCCTGGCTGGTGTGGCTCAGGAATTGAGCACTGGCGTGCGAACCAAAGAGTCACCGCTCCAATTGCTAGTCAGGGCACATGCCTGGGTTGCGGGGGGCACACGAGAGGCAACCGCACATTGATGTTTCTCTCCCATTCTTTCTCCCTCCCTTCCCCTCTGTCTAAAAATAAGTAAAATAAAAAAGTCTTTTTTAAAAAAATCATCATTCTACCCTTTTTAAAAAAGCAGTAAGAGCAAAAAATTTTCATTTTATATTTACCTAGTGTTTTGTTAATTGTAGGCCTTTTTTTTTTTTTCTTCTATGCTAAATTGCAAGAAAATGTCATGCCCAAATCTCTGGGGCTTAATTATAAACTTTAACTACTTTTTGCTCTTTTGAGCTTATTTAAAAAAAAAAATACTGAAGATAGTACAGGTTTATCTTCTAGGTTGTATCACTCTGGCAAGTAAACCTAATACAGAATTAAAGTTCTATAACATTAACCTCAGAGTAAATTATTTTATTCAGGGTTAACTCCTCTGTGAACAACTTTGTGTTATAGTCTTCTTTGCTATAGCAAATGAAGCAGTAATACATCATTGAATATGTAGATAAGTTTTTATCAGATGTTATGCCCTCACTGTATATCAACTCCTCATTTTTAAAAAGCGTATACTTAGATTTAGAACAAAATTGTGACTAAATTTTTAAAAATCAGACATTCTCAAATACATGAGGATATAAAACATATTTTGTTACGGGAGTCTCCATTTCCTGTGTGTCTGATCACAAATATATCTGACCATAATATTTAAAGAATTATTGGAGAAATTAATCTGTTTGGGTCAAAAATTAAGCTCTGTCTAAATAAAATGTATTTGAAGTTTTGAAGTTCATCAGTTTTATCAGTCGATACAATTTATGAAGTTTAATTATAGAGTGATAAGTTTTATCAGTGGACAAGTTATCCAGTGATAAAAAGATTTTTAGCAATTGGATCATTTATTTTGGCTACAAGTAGCAGAACACCCAGCAATGAGGGTTAAGCGCATGGTTCCGGAGGTGGATTGTGGCTGGCCTTGGCTTCGTCGTGATTCTTACTGTCTTTCTCAAATGGCTGCAAGATGACTGCATCGTGGTTGGCAGAAGGAAAGAGAACGGCGAAGACGTCAGCCGTGGCCAGAAAGAAAGACCACGGGGGAGCCCCACAGCAGCCTTCTAGTGACCTCTGTTTGAGCGGCTGAGCCTCACGTCGCGCTCTGGTCTGCGGGAGGCGAGGGAGAAGAGAAGGCCATTCTGCACAGGGGCCTGGTCTGCCACGTGCCCTGGTTTCCACTTTATTCACCAAGTCCTATCCTCGTGTCTTACGTTTACTTACCAAGCCAAAACTTTCTGTTGTTTTTCCTGATTAGCCACGAAAACTACGCTTTTCTTGTTTCTGAAATTTAAAGTGGGAGACCACTGGACTCTCCCAAACGCTTACAAAGTTTTAATTGATTCTCCAACATATTGCATGGTGATAGCATATATGAGTACCTATGGTAATATATGCATATTCTTTTGTGCAGCTTTTAGGAGGTTCATAGATATAGACCTTTAGAACAATCTGGAAGGTAAATTTAAAATCACATAAGGTTAATAGCAGCAATGTTAAATGTCATCTTTCATTATTCTCTCTGTTATAGATCCCTTCAAATTGATTGGACAACTCCAGGGAAACCAAGTGGCATCATTCTCGGATACGATCTCCTACGGACAACGTGGCACCCATGCCCTACAGCCCGGAAAAAGGCCCATGGAAAGCCCTGCCTGGCCGTGATGTGTCAAAAACATGAAGCCGTCTGTGGACACAGGTGCTATTCTCCTGAGGCTGAGGTAAATCTTTTCAAACCAGTCAGTGAAATATGTTTTTCCCACTAAAGAGTCCAGGTGAAATCACTTGCTTCTTAAACCATGCTTTACCATGATCAATATCCCTACCAGTCTTTCAAGAAGAACCGATGGAAAAGAAAGGAAGCTTATAAAAATCCTATTGTCCTCATGAGCATTTTGGCCTTCTCTTTTTTCATAACCTTCACAGGAAATATTAGTTTATTGAGATTATAAGGAACCTCCTGAATTTGTATTTGATTAAGTGACTTGATTTTTTTTTTTAAACAACAAATCCATTGAGCTACAAGTGGATGTTTGTTTATATGACACTGATGAGTAACTATGAACAGGACCTTTCAAGGTTTGTCAGAAATATTTTAAAATTACGACCATTTGCAGATTAATGGTCATATTAGTTGCAGTTTAGGAACCAGATCAATAATACAGCCAGACAGAGGAGTTTGTAAATAGCTTTTATTGACAAATGATGCAGAAAATTCTTACTTTGAAGGTAGGATTTCATATAATGAAATAATGTTCCTATTTATCAACAACATCACACATGTAATGACTGAAGCTACCGCTAAATTCAACAGATTCACTGCGGAAGGGTGCAGTAATTAAGAACGTGAGTTTTTGCAGCGATATGGATCAAAGCAGGAATGATTATGGCTGACACTGGCTAAGTGATAGTTGCCATCTGAGAAACATTATAAAACTAGCTGTTACGAACTTTTTTTTTTTTTGAACACTTAGTCTCCAGAATTGTCATTATGACTAAGTTTTACGTCACTCAGGCTATTAAACACGCACTGTCTGATGAACATACTTTCATAAAATTAAATTTAGGGTTTCTTAGAGGAAAATGCTGCAATAAATTTGCTCATTAAAGATGTTCTCTAAGAGAAAGAAAGAAAACGTTGATACATTAAGCAAACTTTTAGTTTTATATTAAGGATTCAGGAGACACACAGGTATTATCAGTGAGAGAGAATAGAGGAGGACAATTAAAATGTCACGAGAAAAACATTGTAAATTTCTGTTTGGGGTTCACTATGAATTACGCACGCCCTGAGTGAGAAGCTGGAGAAAAGTAGAAAGCGTCTGGGAGTCTGAGAACCTTCCGGCAGGATCCCTGTAAACGTCAGGAGCCCCTGCAGCGCACAGGCTCCCTCCGCGATTACAGCCACGGTTCTCAGCCCCCCGACCCCGAGCACCAGACCCCCAGGGACCCCGGCTCTGGGAGGCTGGGGTGCGGCTGTGAGAGCTGGCGTTCCTCCCATGGGCCCTGCTGGCACCTCAGCAGGGACCACGCTTTGAGCGTTACCAGGTGACGGAATTCCTGCTGGAAACCACAGGGGAAGGGACAGGCTGGCCACTTAAAGCTTAGTGCTTCCTCACCAACTCACGTGATGGACGTGGCCCGGTGTGTGTGCTGAGACAACTACCTGGGAGGCTGAATTAGGAGATTAAGAACTATTCTGTTTGTGGGGACACCTCCCAGGAGGAATAATTGCTTGAAAAGCTGCCCTTTGGGGCCCATCAGTGGTCAAAACCAGAGTGGGTTGGAAAGAAGGAAGGCGGCCTGACGAGGCCTCGGGCAGCGGATGGGGGGGCGTGAACCGGCGCGAGTAGTCTGTCGCTACATAAATAGTTGAGAGAACTTGTTGAAAGAGGACAGTAATGACTAGAGAAACTCGCGGAAGGGAAAGGCTGGGGGTGCGTGAGGGCCCAGGAACACATGGTGGGTGAGTGGGGTGTTAACAAGTGCCTGAAGGTCATGCTGTCCTGAAACATGGGGCGGGGGTGGGGGGGGGGGCAACGCGTTGTTTTTACCCTGAAGGTAAAAACAATCATCATTCACTAAATCCCAAAGAAACTGTAGATAAGACTTTCTTTTCTTTCTTTTTTTTTTTTTTTTTTTTTTTTTTGCTTAACTCTTAAAAATAGGGCATAATTTCAGAATTTCCTTTTCACACAGAATAGGACACCATAGAAAGGAGCCACCCAGTTGAATGTATCCTTGGAACCCCGCATTGCAAGTAACTAAACACAGCACAGGGAGTACATTACAGTTGGGTGAACAGCGCCACCTGAGGACCCTCTGGGGTAGCCTTTGGATTTAAGAGCCCCATTTCTTTTCTCTTTGTACCTTTGGAAAAATGAGTGATGTCCTAAGCTCGTGGCCAGTTTGAAGACTTAGCGATCCCACCTTCCACGACTTGTGTATTGAGCTTGATTCAGAGGTTGGTGCGGACTGGAAGTCACATTGCGTGAAAAGGAGAAAGAAACACCTCGTAAATAGCGGTTGATTTTGTCTGTCACAGGAAGCATCTCTCCAGTTCATGTGACACGCCAAGTATAGGTTCTGAGGCTGCATCCAGCCACTCTTCGGTGTTCCATTTGTCATACACACACAGGGCCAGTGTCTGCGACCTCAAGTGAGCATGCAGAAAGTTATTTGATTGTTCAGGCACATGATTTCTTCCACAGCTCCTGGAGAAAACACGGCTGGTTAAAAGGGCTTGTCAGATTTAATTTCCATATAAATTTTCTTTTCTTCGTGTGATATGTATCACACATATGTACATGCACGTGTGTGTATATGTAAATGTTGGACGCTTAAGATTGTCTTGTCTGAAGTTTGGTTGCATACATGGGATCATATGCATTATAAGAAAAATGCAATTTATTTAAAAGAAAAGGAAAGATCAATGAGAGTCAGATTTCTATAGATGTGGAATTAAACAACCATTAAAATAAAAACATGTATGAAGGAAATCGTTCACTGGTAATTCTAAATCATCTTTACATTGAAAGCACTAGCATTCGAAAAGTAGTTCATTTTAATAGAACATTGTAATAGAGCACAAAGCCTGGTGAGGGCTAAAAAGCTACGTTGTATCACGAGCATTTATAGAACCTGAACGATGCTGAGAAAATGTATTTTTTAATGTTTGAATTTTTATCAGACGTATGGTACCTTTGGTCTCACATCAAGGCCTATCAGAAAACAGTTAGAGCGTGGAAGATACGGTGGTTTAATACTCATAACTCACTGACTCTTTAGATCTGATCCCACACTTTCAGGTGTGTTGTGCCGGAGTTCTCTACGAGGCCCAGCCGGAACACCAGTGCTGTGATGAGAAGTATGTCCCTTTTGTCTCGAATTCAACTGGAGTTTGTTGTGGTGGCCGAATACTAGAGGCACGACCAGATCATCACTGTTGCTCTGGGTATTACATTCGAATTCTCCCAGGTGAGGGCCCCTTCCGGGGGTACTGGGGCATCCTGGGAACCAGAAGAAACAAACGCATGACTCACGCCAGTGAACTGTTTCAAGCACCTCCCAAAAAAAATTGAATCACTCACACATAGCCAGTGACCAGCTCTAAATAATCTTTCTTTTTTCAGCTTTGTTGAAATACAAGCACGGTACCAAATGAGAGGGAATACAAGGGGCGCCTGGTATCTATTACATAAAGAAATATATCTGGACAGCTGGGCAACCTTTTTATGTTGCGATTTATTTTACTCATGTGGCTAAATATTTTAACCACACACTGAGAATTTGTACGTGCCCCACTCCATGAAGGTGCTCTCCAAAATTACCTCCCCTTGGCATCTCTCTGCAAACCACTGGAGCGAAAATGCAAGGTGAAGCGATTAAATTCTATGCAAGTTTATTTCAGGCAGTGACCCTCTATTCCTCAGAATCCCCCCTAACGTTAACAGAAAAGCCTGTCTTCGTAGTGGTACTATCACTCTGGTTCTCACACACCACACTTTTATAATTAAATAACGAGGTTTTCCAAGTAGGAAAGCATGGTGATGAAAATAGGACTTTGTGAAAGAGTGAACTTCCAATTACTGCAAATCACAGTATTAGCAAGGAATCAAACACTAACACATGCCTCACCCTTTCAAAGTGCATTATAGTATAGTTGTTTTCAACTATATTTCGTATTTTCCCTCCCCTTCAAAAAAATTGTCTTGACCATTGTAATTACATAGATGAGATGGAACAGTTCTGTGGTCCCGTTCAAGCTAAAAGACCACAGCGGGGTTTTATCAAAGTTTAGCATAAAGCTAAGTGACAGTGTTTTCATTTTTAAGTCGTATTTGAATTTTTGATAAGTTACTTGCAATTAACTTTTCCAACTCTGAAAAATATCGTCTGTGCTTTAAAACTGGAGACACACACTCGCCTATAGCTGTCACAGTCCTTCACTGTTAGACTTGCCTGTCACCCTCTCCCTCCTAACAATCTTAGCGGCAGATTTCGAGCTAAGGCAACAGTCTACTTTGGTTCGATTGCCAAATAAAATCCAACATTTTTTTTTTCCTAAGAATGAACTAAGTCATGGAAGCCCAACAATTATTTATTAATATTATATAAAACTTTTTAATATGTAACTTTTAAAAATAACTTGGAAACCTCCGTGGTCTGCATCTTGACACATGCTCACTCAGACCTCAAGCATTTCAGTACCTGCCAAACGTTGAAGATGACCCACATCCAGATTGCATTTAGATAGTTCCTTTTGCAGGGGAATAGAAAGCCTACCATGGTGTCAAAAAAAAAAAAAAAAAAAAAAAAAGGCAGTCTCATAGGATAATCAAAGAGAGTGTTTTGCTCCAATCATTAATCTCAATGTAACTAAATGAAGAGATTATACAGTGACCTCTGTGCTCAGCCATTGGTCTTTGTTAACTGGTTTAACACTGTTTACGTCAAGAAAGCAAGCACGCTGACCCCCACGCCATCTTGTATCAAAATGTAATTAAAATTCAATCAGTTGTCTACCAGTTCAAGGCTGACAAGGGAACAGGCATTTTGATATTTATAGATGAGTCTGAAATATCTGTTAATAATATTTATTTATTTTCTCACAACTTCCCTTCCTGGCACTCCATGACAAAAAGCAGCAGAGGAAAGAATGCTCATTCCATCCCCCCTTTTTTATAAATCTGCTAATGACCTCAAGCTAAATGTTAATGTGGGTCATTCTTTGATAAGAATAACAATTAACAGTTAAGACCAAATGGTGGCTTTTAGAGAGAAAACACTTTCCAGCCCGTGGTGAAATAGATTCATTTTTGAGAGGTTAATGAGAAGGTGCCTGATCCTTGCATCTTATGTCTCATAGCCCTTTTTGAGGGGGAAAAAATCAGTTTTCCCTCTCATTGATATAATCCACGTCTCTTTTAATGAAGCCTTTTCTTCTCTCTGTCACCATTGCCAGACACGAGACACAGCTCAAATGGCCCCAGTGGGTAAATGGACAGACTGGGGGACATTGACCCATAGGAACCCCACGCAGCGGTCAGGCGGAACAACCCTAACTCAGGAGGGTTTGGCCAGTCACTAGCCAGACGATGTCAGTGTTACCCCGGCTGTGGCTGGAGCAGGGAGGCCAGCCGGGTCTGCCATGACACTCACGCACCCCTTAAAGTGCAACGAGGGAGTGTTGTCCAAGGAGAAAGGCATGTTTAGGAGGAGGCAGTGGGGGAAGGAGGAGAGGGTCAGTGAAAGGTACGGGAAAGGAAGGAATAAGGCCAGGGGCGGGCAGTGGGGGAGGGAGTCGAGGTCTGGGGGCCCAGGAGAGAGGTCAACGCAGAGCTGGGTCAGGAGGGAAAGAGGAAAGACAAAGTTTGAATTTTAGATCCGCCAAGGTGTCCCTGGTCATTTCTGAGGTACCCTTGAGAAAAAGCAATTTTAAATGCTTTTAGAGTTTTTCTGTGTTTTCGAAGCCTCTTTATAATACACTCCCCCCCCCCACAAATGTCCCTTGATATTTAGAATTATTTGATTTCAAGGTACCAGGAAAAAAAGTGATGTATTTTATTCATTATCTCAGGTGTCCCAGAATATCACGTAAAGGGAAATGTGGATATAACTACAGTAGTGGAATTCAGTGTCTATCACAAAATAACAGCATTGAATACAGCATCTTGACTGCCTTTCATTTAATCAGCCTTCCCACTGGAAGTGTTTTGCTTGGATAAAGAAACTATAATCATAGGCATTACAAACTTATCAAGAGTTGATTTCTGACTCAACCCTATTCCAACACAGACACACACACACACACACACACACACACACACACACTCTCTCTCACACTCTCACACTCTCTCTCTCTCTCTCTCTCTCTAAATAGAGAAGGTGTTTGTAGACCAGGTTTTTCTGTGATGTTCCTTCACCCACATCACCAGGCATAAGGTGCTCATTTGGTGGGGATGAGGGAGGAAGTAGACAACATAGCCTCACCTCTGAGCGGGCTTGTGTGTATGTGGGTGGACACACGTGTGTCTGTGTCTTTCATGCAAAAATCTGGAAGTTGCATCAAGGTGTTTGCAACCCCAGCATTTCAGCATCTGTCCCAGTCATTCTCCCAGCCGGTTGGCGTCTGCGGGGTGATCATGATAGAATCCCCTTGTGCGCCGACGCGTGTTGCTTTACTGACGGCCCTCGTCCTCGTTGGCAGGCGAGGTGTGCTGTCCGGACGCCCGGCACGGCCGGGCGGCCGCGGGCCTCGGCGACGCCTGCTGTGGCGCAACCCCGTACTCCACGTCGGGAGGGCAGGTCTGCTGTGCGGGGAGGCTCCGCCCCGGCCACGGCCTGCAGTGCTGCGGGGGCCAGGTCGTCAGCGAAGACCTCGAGTGCTGCGGGGGCACCGAGCAGGGGCGGGCGTACAGCCGCCTCCCAGGTAAGGGCCTCGCCGGCCGCTCGGGAGACAGGGGAGACCCGGGGCAGCGAGGCTGGGAAATTTGCCCTGGATGTTAAAAAAATAATAGTGCGCAAAGCTCCCATTAATTATATCGACTGCAACAATTAGGTACATGATAGACAGCAAGTAAAAATGTAATCTCACATGTTCTATGTGCATGTGATGCACTTGATAAAAACAGATCAAAACTTTTTGAAAATTGTCATGACCGTCAGACACATACATACACAAATGCATCGGTTCTGTATCAAGAAAATAGTACCTAGCAAATATAAACAGTATACAAAATTATCTTTAATGACAGTCTATGTCAAATTTTTTGGTCCCTGATTCTTCTATAGCTGTTAAACTAACACTAATATCAATGGCAATAATTATCATTGATTGTGTACTTACTATTTAGCAGTTACTATAGCCAATGTTTTATACATTATTAACTCAGTTAATCTTTATGATAACTTAGAAGACATGTACTGATATTATCCAAGTCATATGCAGGAAATCTGTAGGCCCAGAACTATTTCATAATAATACTGAACTGTTATATGACCCTTTCACTCTTGTTCTCGCAAGAATGTCCAGTGGAGTTTTCCAGCAATGACTTGCCATGATTTTGCAACAGGTAAAAAAGGAAACGCATGTGAGAATTCAGTTCCTTTTATTAAACCAGACATTAAAAGAGACATACAGATAATGTAAAACCATATCATTCTTTTCCCTAATTTTTCTCAGTCTGGAAAATATTTTTCAGAAATGTTTATGTTAACATTTTATTTATTTATTTATTACTAGTTTAAAGGCATTAATAAAAACATATTAACATGTTGTTAATAAAAACAAAATTGTCTGTTTTAGGCTCTTACCCAGTATATATCAACAGATACCACCTATATAAATAAAAGCTATTTGGATTCTCACTTGTAAAAGTGTAACAGGTCCTGAGACCAGAGTTTGAGAACCGCTGTGTTAAGGCATAATGATTACGTTTACTGGAAAACCATAGCAACTAGTTAGTTATCCTGTGCTATGATTCACCAGCCCAGTACCTCTTTCTCCTTCAGATGAGTTAGCTAAAATCAGGCCCATTACAGAAAGAACCATTCGTGTGGAGGTGGGAACATGGGGACATACCACAATAGGTCCAAGTCTTAAAATCACAGCAACATGTCTTGTTGTAGTGTCTTTGTTCATCTGTTGCTTTATTTAAAAAAAAAAAAAATCAGTTGCGGTATTCCTTCATTCAGTAAATATGCATTGTGTAATGACTGTATGCAAACCACCCCAGGGCTTTGGGAGTGTAAAGATGGCAGAGTCACTCTTATCCTTAGGGACTTACAATCTTATTAAGGGGACAGGACCTCTAAGGTTAAACATAGGCCATAAGGGGAGTGAATTCAAGCATATACTTAAGACAGAGACATCACTCCAGTCAACGTGATTTAAAAAATGATACATAAACCATTGGATGGGAACCTTGAACAATGAGTAGGATTTCGAGACACGTGGGTAGAAAAAGGACATTCCCCTGAAGGGCAGAGCTGGAGCGGAAGTGTGCCATCAGCAGTCTGCAAACCACGCGCGAGTGGGAGCAAGCAGTTGGGTTTGCTGGACGTGTGCACCGTGCGTGAGTAAATGGAGATGACCGCAGCAGGCGAAGGGCCTCGAAGGTGCCCTCGTCCTCAGGGAAGGGCCAGGGCGGTGATGGGCTCTGCGGCTGATGGAGAAGCCGTAGGTTCGGGGGCCAGGTGACTGTGAAGGGAAGAGACGTCAGAACACTGCTGCCAAAAAGGGAACGGGCCTGTTTGAAGATATGGGGCGGAGACTGCTGTCCACCAGGACGCTGGCTCCTCGTCTTTAGGGGCTGGGCACCCCCTGCAGAGGCACAAACCCTACCTTTAGTGAGGTGCGCAGTGCGCAGAACAGCACAGCATTCTGCCTGCACTTTCTTAAACCTTTGAGTCCGCCCATGGGCCCAGATGTCAGAGTCACTCCTCTCCTTACTGCCACGTGACGCCCTGGGCTAATCAAGTATTTCCTAAGCAGCTTGTGACATTCTTCAACCCACGCGACTCAGGATCGGCGCTCTATTTCTCCTGGCACACCCCAACTCCACCGACTCTGGTGATCACGGTAGGCTGAAGGGATGCTATTTTTAAACGAGGAAAAAACAGTCTTTTTATTCTCTTGACCTTCCTGCAGGTGTCACTGGAAATAGACACATTTCATGTCATTTCTTCTCTCTTTTGCTCCCTCCTGTCACCCCTAATAGTTGTGACCTTAATGACCTTCCCGAATATCCGTATGACCCTTTTTTTCTCAACCTAGCAACACCCTACCTGCTGCACGAGGCTTTGGATTTCATGATTTTGTTCCTACGCCTGGCCTCCCTCTGCCTGGCATCGCATTCCTGCCACGGGACCGGGCTGGCTCATAAAACGTCTCTTTATGTACTTTATTACTTAAACTCTTTTATTTGCCTGCAGGAGCCCTTTAACAAAATCACATTGAATTGACTTTCTCACACCAAATCAAATCTCCCCGGTCCCAGTTCAGTTGTCTTTGTCAATATGTATTTTATAAATGGAGGGAATTAACAGATGCTGTCGGACAGGAGTGCTGCGGCAGCGCTGATGTTTTTAGTGCTCTCGCTGGGCAGCCGAGGCGTGGAGGCGCGTCACGCAGGCGTCTCGGAATGAGGGTCACACTCGTCATTTCAGGCATTTCAGCAGATATGTATTCTTCACCATTTTCTCTGGCTATTTTTTAAGCCTCTTTATTATTCTTTTTATTCTTCCGGTTTGCATCTATGGTTTTATCATTCCTGTCATTCATCTTGGGTTGGACTTGATTGTATCCCTTAGTGTTAAAAGGCGAGAATTAAAGACACTCTGTTATTCAAAGAGGACAGGATTTTCTGTCGACCATGAAGAAACTGACCGTGCAAGACCTTTGGCATGTGTTGCCTTATTTCTGTTACAAATGTTGCCCACGCAGCCTTTGATGGGAAACTCGGGGTTGCCACTGAGCTTCCTTGTCCTGGACTCAGACTTGAGTCGAACGAATGATGCCACTTGTAGTGACCTGAGATGGGATTTGGGAACTTTGCAAAAAGGAAAGTGTGTGCGCAACTCCATCCTCTAAGACTGTATTGAAAGAATACTTCCCAGGAAGGTCTCCTTGACAGAACGGATTTTTTGAAACAGAACGTAGACGTGCTGTAGGATACGTTGCCGCGGCTCGGGAGCGTGTTTCCCTCCACCTCCTCTTCTCAGTTTTGCAGCGGTACCTGCAGAGCCACCTGCTGGTGAAGTGACGAGCACAGTGCTTTTCTTTCAGGCTTGCCACCAGTGGTATTGGTCTGCCCTAGGAATGACTGATCACAAGCCTTGTTTAATTTTTTTCATTCTTCTACGCCTCAGCTATAATCCCTTGGAAACTGTGCTTCCCATGGTCAGCCCTGGAATTCCACAATGATATGTCTTGTTCTAGACTCTGTTTTTTTACTGCTTTACTGATTTAATCTCAAAAGCATGAGTCCTAAGTGTTGGTCCTTCTTGTAGAAAAACGGAGCACGTGCCATGCAGATTTAAGAATGAGGAACTTCGTCAGGCCCGCGTGTCTGTGCGTGTTTTCAGCAGTGGCCCTGGATGTTAAATGAGTATTGTTGACACATTGGAAGTAACCATAACACTGTGAGCCAAAAATTCTTTCCTCCACAGCTTTCTCAGTTGTATCCAATGCAATGGAAGCTATCCATTGGCTGTATGTGCTGTTTTGGGAAGATGCTCCTGTGATATATATGCTTTTTGATCTCAGAAATAGACATCTCATACTTCACTGTGTACGATACCACTTTAATAACATCTGTATCTTGTCCAAAGAGACACTCCACCTTCGTACAAATTTAATGAAGAGCCTCCAGAAAAAAAATAGATCAGTCCATCCGTAATCCATGACCTGTTTTGTTTTTCTTTGGGCATATTTAAAATTGTGCGTTCCGCATGTCAAAGTTCAAAAGTCAAGTGCTACACGTGATAAATTAGGCAGGGGTCAGAAGTTACTGCCGTGCCGTTTCCTAAGATGGTCTGACTCTGAGTTTGAGCTCATTCATGCTGAAGTGATGCACCATGGGAATGACTCCCAAACCCTGTTCTGGAACATCTGCTCTCCCTAAGTGAGTTAGTGCATGTCAGACATCTTTATGTCAGAACACCGCAGTGATGGATGCAGGCCTCAGAGAATGCCGCATAGAAATCTGGTGTGCCATTCTGGCCATTAAGTGAAATTACTATTTAAATTAATGGCACTGTCACAGTTTATCTGTGCAAAGAATGAACGCTGATTAGGGTATTAAGTAATTAGCAATTTATCACACTGGAACAAGGTTGATAATAATTAAAGAAGTAATGGTTTACTGAAGGGACTAGAAAGGGAGTCACTTCTTGGTATGTGAGTGAAATCTTGGCTGAAAATTTTAATCCAGGGAAACAAAGATGAAGCTCTGTGTGAAAGAAAGCATCCTTTTTTTTTTTTTCCTAGTGTAAAAACAGTTCATTATCAAAATTTTAGTTGACCTGTCAAAAGTCCCTCAGAGCGATCAGATGACGGATTAGCAGTTTGGAATTAGGTCAACGTCTGCATTTTGATTTTATACTGGAAGCGCGGTGAAGCCGTGCAGGGATTCGGGAGTAGAGGGGGAGAAAGCATTCTGCTCCCTAAGGGGCCAGTTTTCGGGTTTTGACTGCTCTTTAAAATAAAAACATGAATTATTTTAAGAAAACTGCTAGAGAAAAAAAATGGCAGTAAAGAATCCAAGGCGGGTATTTATATGACTGATCTGAAGGCTGCAGGAAAATATCCAAGTAATACAAAACTTGAAGTTGTGGCTTTTTCTTTTTAGTACATGTGTGATATTTATCCATCATAATCAAGACTCAGGCTACAATGAAAGCGCTGCTGTGTGTGTTTATTTGAGAGAACTTTTCCTAGCAATGTTAAAACAACTAAAATTATTAGCAAAGCACCAAAGAAAATAATTTACTTTGAAACCAATGGCTTTGAGCAGTTATCACATTTAAACGTGGCATGTCAAAACTCAGTTGTGATCAATGTATATCTTTAACCATAAATACAAATGTTTTAAGTATTTAAAGATATTTTTAAAGTCAAAAAGATCAATGAGAGAGTTCATTAAAGTCCTGTGTGGGTAAACGTCTTTGTTAATGCCTTTGCCAAGCCAGCGTCTACATTCAATGACTTTTTTTTTAAAGCACTTAAACCTCATTGGCCTGTTATTAGGAGTGTCTTTCATAATATAGGTGTTTGTCCAAGGCCAGATTAAACACTGCAGGACCCCACGGCACTTGGAGGTTGAGTATCTTTTATGTCATCAGTCAGGGCTAATAATAAATAAACAAAATTCTAATTAAAATAAATCATCACATTGTGCCACTACATAAAGGATACATGTTGCTATATGATATGACATAGCACTGTAACGTGGGGGGCAGGCACCTTAACTTCTAGCTAACTCTAGAGGACTGTTACTTTTTCAGTCTTGTCGGTCTACATTTTTGCTGTATCTTTTCTGTGTAAGATCTGAATGGTGGGAACAGAGGCAGACAAACAGGACTGGGTAGGAGAGAGGAGTGTATTTGGTTTGGCAGGCACACACGTCCTCAGTGGATGGAGAGGTCAGTAATACCGCCTCCCAGGACTTTCTGCCACTGCCCCAGCCTCTTACCCAGGTCTAGGTGATGGGTCGAGAATACGGCATGGCTCCAAAGACAGTGGCCGCATGGCGCACCCGATCCCTGAACCCACTCAGTGGGCGCGATTCTGTCTCATGGCGAATGCATGGTCACTGCTGTTGCTGGATTCACAAGAAACAAATAACGGTGCCCCAGACAAAGCCAGGCAACAACGTGAAGGTTCATGCTGCAGCGTCTACGGTTCTAGAAAGGGGTCACCTCACCACTGTCTGGTCTCTTCTCAGAGTGCTTGATGGCCTTTCCTTCCCTGTGAATTCCCAGAGATTCCTTCTGAGTCCCTCTTGTTTAACTACCCCTCCTTCTGCTAGACCATGTCACCCTCAGCAAAGGGGCTGGCAGTTCTCATGACGGGAATCCGCTCTCTTTTCTGTGGAGCTTGGAGAAGTTTGGCCCCGCCGAGTGCTTTTGGATCACTTCCTCCCGTGCGTTCTTTCGCTAATTAGCGGCTAGTGCTTTTGGTGAGAAAGACCCTTCACGGCACGTCTCCATCACGTGGGTGGGGACGTGCTACCTGAAGTATTGTATCGTTGCAGCCACTGCTGTCGCCTGACGTTTTTATACCAAGCTTTATGGCGCCCTCGGTTTTCTTCCCTTTTTTGAATTTCATATCCGAGTATAACATTTTATTGTTGCAGGGATGCGCTGTTGTGGGCAGGATTATGTGAATGTGTCAGATACCATATGCTGCTCAGCTTCCAGTGGAGAATCTAAAGCACATGTTAAAAAGAATGACCCGGTGCCAGTAAAGTGCTGTGAGACCCAGCTTATTCCGGAGAGCCAGGCGTGCTGTAATGGAGTTGGCTATAATCCCCTGAAATATGTTTGCTCTGACAAGACTTCAACTGGAATGACGATGGAGGTAATGGATAGAAACCCTCTCAGAGGCCTGATGTGACAATGGAGAGAGAAATACATTGTTCATCACTATTTTTCTAAACTAGGAATATAAAAACTCCTGCGTGCATTATTCATTGCCACATTACAGCCGTATTAATACCAATGAGGTCGCTGTGATGGATGTTATTGCGATGGATTCCGCAGGAATTAACACCGATGAGCTGTTCTCCAGCAGCCCTGCCCAGCCCTTGGGCTCTAGTGTCCCAAGGAGAAGAGACAGAAACGGGCAGTGCTGGGCAGGCGGCACTGCGTCCGCTCCGTCCGTGGGCCCCCAGCTCCCAAAATTGTTTGCAGGGTCCTGGGTGTGGGGGTTCACGGCCTGTCCCCTTCAACTTTCTGTGTCTCTTTACTGTCACTGGTTGATCTGTGAGAAGAGGTGGAGGAAAGGGCAGGTGTTCAGTCACAGTATTTAAATGGAAGCCGTACTCACATTGACTACCTTTGGGAGGATAACTTATTGTACATAAGAGAGAGGCTGAATGTAGATCAGTTTTAAATAGTAACCATTGTTTTAAATACAGCATGCTACAGAAAAGGGGAAGTGGAACTCTACATTCTAAGACTACAGGGCGTGGCAAAAGTAGGTTTCCAGTTGTGAGTAGGGGAAACCCAGAGTTTATGCTTGCATTGTTATTTATTAATTACTGTATTATTTTCCATACAGATACCTGTAGACTTACTTTTGCCCCACCCTGCATTGACTTGTTTATATCCTTGTAACTTGGGACGATGAGGTATTTTATTTTCTGAGATTAGAACATATTAGCATTTATCAATAACTATAAAAAATCCAGAGATTTATCAGATAAAAGGTTTACAGTTATAAATAATAATTACAATGGCAGTTCATGAACTATTTAGATTTTCTAAGATGTGGGTGGGGTATACTTATTGGTCATACTTTCCCGCAGGAAATGCACATCCTTAAATATCGCATTCTTTATTTTCTTGAAAACTCCATTAGGAAAGTGTCAAAACAACAATAATGAAGTAATGACTGCTGTTATTAAGTATAATATATTGACTGAGTGTCAGTCATTTACAGGTGTTTTTTGATTCATACAACAAACCTGCATGCTAAATGTATAGTCCATTTTCTCACTGAAGAAGCTGAGGCTTTGAGAGTATAGGTCATAGAACTAGGACTTGTAGTTCTGGATTGAATCCAAATGTGCATCATTCAACGCAAGTGTTCTTTCTGGAACACAAACCGCCTTTGTTTTGTTTTTGTTTTTTTTAAGGAATTTTGAGATAGTCATTTGTGAACTTGGTAGAAGAAAATTTCACTTCAAAGTCATAAAACTCAACCCCACGTGTGTCTAAATGAAACTGTAAAATCCTCTTCTCCTCTCGCCCACCCCTACCGTCTGCCTGACCTAGGAACCCGAAGCATGCGGGACTGTCTGCCCTGCCTCTATGGCAGCCACCGCGCACTGCGGCAGGTGTGACTTCAATTCCACCAGCCACCTGTGCGCTGTGATCAGCGCACCTCGCCATTCCACAGAGAAGGCATCAGGGGAAGGAATGTGCTCCTCTGTGGAAGAGACTGTTCACGCGGGACATGCAGACACGTTCTCCTTCACAGGTAACAGGAAAGGAGCCGCCGCCCATGGCTCAGGAGGGGTGGGGGAAGCTGCTGAAATGCATATGGGTGCCCCTGTGATATCATCTCCCTCCTTAACCCGATGTCAGTTAATTCCATCATCCTATGGGCCAGGCACAAGATAATCAAAGGCATAGCCTGGATTTCTTCAAAGTTGGTAGTTTGTATTTTTTAAGTCTACATTTAAACAAGGATGTGTGCTATTTCAAGGTAAATCTGTAGAGAATAAAGAACAAAGACATAAATAAACGGTTCATCTTTATGTGTCAGTGAGTAGATGGTAAAGCTTTTTAGTGGTGGAGCGACGCTCTGTGTACACATTTTTGAAGGGTTGGTCTGTCAGCTAAGGAAATGATGGAAGGCAGCCACGTGTGGAGCAGTTAAGCAAATAGCAAGTAAACATTGAACATCCACTCCCGCCAAACAACCAAAACCCTCTGTTACCAGAAGACTGACCCCATGAAACATACAACATGATTTTGAGAAATGAAGTTTAAAAAAATTGAAAATTCTAGCAAAGGGAAAATAAAAGTTCTGAGAAAGAGATTACTGAGGAAAGGCAAAATTTCAACAAATGGTTCCTTTTGGGTAAAGCAAAGCACAGAAAAATGCTTTCATGGGCTGGAAGCATCTTTGCAAGACTGAACGTCACAGGAAAACAAAGCAGCAAGGACAGGAGATGAGAGAGTAAAAAGGAGGAAAAAGAAAGAAGATGGAAGAAAGAATAAGGAACCGAAATGAGAACTGGTGATGCAGACTTCAAGAGTATAAAATAACAGTCATTAGCAAGGGATGGTTTACTCTGCTATGGTAAAGAGGTTCAGAAGCACAGTGACCTTCTGGAGACAGGTGGATGGGCTGGACATCCCAGCCCCCCAGTTATTGAGGGATCGAGGTTCCTTCCTTTTCGTGGCTCGTGGCTCTTCAGGTGCTGCTGTCCTCCACACGGCGCGGCCTGAGTTACCACATCCCAGTTTCAGCCCGTCTTAGAAGGGAACGAGCCAGAAATGGAAGGCAGCGATTTCCTCTTTAGAAAGGGGTGCACAAGTAGCCCATATCACTTCTGTGCCCCTTCCCTTTTTGAGACATGAGTCATGTGACCACGCCAAGCTACGAAGAACAGTGGGAAATGAAGTCTCTAGCCAGAATGGAAGGGAATTCTGCGGACCCACTAGTGGTCATCACAGAGAGCAAGGGGCAGATACCTTCTCCCCAAAGAAAATGGAGACAAGATAATCCCTTACATTTGACAGCAATTTACATTTTATGAAGTTCTGCCATATAAGTAATTGTATTTATTTTCATACCAATTCTATAAAGTAGGCAAGGTAAGGTTGGTTGTTAGAGATGCATGTAAAAGGAATGCGGTCAGACAACCCAAGTGGATGCCCCGGAAGGTAATTCTGTGGAGACACGGAGAGGGAGCCGGTGGCCAGCAGCCAGCGAGGGGATCTCTAGTCCTGACCCTGCACCTGAGGATGAGTGGCCGTGAAACCACCACACGTAAATCCACACGTGCAGATATCCAGATTCAAAACTCACGAGATTCCTTAAGTGGAAAATAGAGTTAAATAAACTTCCAAGTAATTTTTGTGTGTGCGTATAAACTGTTGCATTTGTATTTCCGAAGTTATGAAAACTTAAAACTGAACTAAGACATTTGGGGCACCATTGAATCCTGTGGATGATTAGCTAATAAAATTTTTGCCAGTCCACAAAGCTCGGCAGGTTGTTGATTTTGTTGTTTTAATTAGAAGGGTTGTTTTGGTTTTTGCCTGAGTTCTGATGTGGTGGAAGAAGAAAGCGATGTAGAGTCCGCAGTCATTTTTATTCACTAACTATAAAAAGCTAAGTTTCATATCCTGCATCTCATAACAACTATTGTAATTCATGTAATAATTTAATAAGATAGCACTAACACTGTAAAAGTTGGTCAGATGTGTAATAATGAAACTGTTAAAGACCTTTGACAAGCCTGCCTCCTATATATAAGGAACAGCAAGAAGAAGAATTTGTGAAGCATTAGCCCCTGATGTGCCTTAGTCCAGGACTTTTCTTTTCAAAGCGTTTCTTTAATGAGCCCACGCTGTCTGGTCAGTTCCATTCCATCTCTGCACCTATGAAACATGGCAAATATGTTTTATGGTTGATACAGTCAGGGCATGAGAGCTTTATTTCCAGTGATAATATTAGAGCATCAAGCATTTTTTTAATCATTTAAAGGTTTTGAGGTTTGTTTTCAAGGTGCTGGTAAACTAATTAAAATGTTTTAAAATCGTACTTCGATGCCTGTCTTCCTAGATGTGAACCTGGAGCCCAGCACAGTGTATGAGTACAGGGTCTCCGCTTGGAATGGCTACGGGCGAAGATTCAGCCAAGCTGTCAGTGCCAGCACGAAAGAAGATGTTCCTCAGGGAGTGAGTGCTCCGCGGTGGGTCACAACGGATCGCCTTGAGGATGGAATCGTCTTGAACTGGAACAAACCTGTGCAATCGAATGGTACTCAGCTGCTTGGAAAATAGCAATGCCGTAATTGTGTAAATCCATGAGCAAATTGAAATGAGTGTAATCTACATTTAATTGGCACACATATAACCCCTAAAAAGTATTTCCTGATAAAATGGACTTGCGCTATGTGCCAACCAGTCACTCATTCTAGGAAATAGCTAGCCCTGATAAATTCTGAGCCAATTTTTTTTTTCTTTTGCTTGAATCCTAGCCTATATCTGAGCTGCTTTCAAACAAACAAATTATGTTATGGGAAGGCAAAATAGTTTTAGTATTGAACATAAATTTTGTTTGTAAATTTGAGAGGAAATAAACTTAAATGGCTCTTTGATTAAGTAGGTCAAAAATCCATCTCCTCCATTAGAGTGGGTATAATTAAGAATGGCTTGAAAATTGAATGATGGGGTAGTATCCCATTTCCTCGGAACTCAAAGGCAGGTACGTTGCTTGTAAAAAGTGGCAAGGTTATTGCCTCTCAAACGCAGGCATTTCCCTGACTCTGTAGGTCCAATCCTTTGCTACATTCTCCTTCGAGATGGAACGGAACTTTTTCGGGGAACATCTCTGAGCTTCTGTGACACAAAGGGAATTCAGCCTTTCCGGGAGTATTCCTACCAGCTGAAGGCTTGCACAGTCGCTGGCTGTGCCACCAGCGGCGAGGTAAGGGCTTCTGCCCCCACCGGGGACGGAACGATCTGCTGTGACGACCGTGAATGTCTGGGGTGGGGGGTGGTGAGTGATTCTTCCAGTGACAGAATACAATGTTTTTCTCAATATTGTGTCACATAGGGTGTCCATATGGCATCTCGATTGAGTGTGAATGCTTATGCCTGAAGCCAGACGTCACTGCAGGGAAGATTTATCCAAATATCAATGTTTCATTAATTTAAAAAACAACAACAACACATGAATCCATATACCCTTTCCATCACACTTTTCCTCCACCAACTATTTTTAGATGTTCTTCTGTAAATTCAGAGTAATCCCCAAATCAGAACTCAGTTTAAAAGGGTTTATATTTAAATACCATTTCAACAAAAATTGCCTGTTCTTGAGAAACAGAGGAAAGGGCAGAAGGGCCTGGCACAGAAAATAAAATGTCTCCAGTTTCTTCAGCTGCCTTGGGAAGAGATGATGAAGACCTAAGCTCAGGCAAGAGGGTTCAGAATGGAGAACATCAGAAAGATACAACAGGTATCAGGGCACAATTGGCAGGACTTAGTGGTCAGCTGTATGCAGGGGAAGAAAAGGGAAGATTCCCAGGTGTTTTCAAGGTATCTGCAGGGAGCGGCGTGTGGGTCATGGTGCCATCGTGCAAACAAATAAAGAGAAAAGTGAAACACTTTTAAAATTTGAACCTTAGCGTTTAAGTCCACATTTAATAGAAGGAGCAGGTAGCCGAGTGGTGGACGAAAATATTACTTGGCGCTTTATGTGAAAATGTGTACTGAGACGCAGGGTTGAGAAGTGACTGAAGTTACTAAAAAAACGTTCGAGGGTGGCTGTCGCAAGAGCCCAAGACTGGTTCAAGCCACAGGGCACCAGCGCTGAGCCCTGGAGAATGCTACCAACTGAAGGAAGGAAATCTGACAAAGAAGACCAGGAGAAGTCATCCAACACTCTGTGGGGAATAGAAAAAAAGGGGCCATTATCACAGGAGCCAACCTAGTCAGAGGATGCCCAGGAGAAAACAGACTCACGCAGGGCAACCCTGGCGCTTCACATGGAGTTAAAACCTTCAAGGAGCAGCATCCTCAGACGCTGCGCAGGAACTCTCCAAGGAAAACCTCCAGCCGGGCTTCCATCCTCATATTCTGTGGCCCCCAGAAGCACGTCACCACCAGGACAGATGGCAGCTGATTGTCCTGATCCAAAGTCAGTGTCTGGGCGGTCCTAGAAAAACCCCATGCTTTCTGCACAGACAGCTCATGCCTACTAGGTGCCATGCTGTTGGTTCAAGGACGAGATCAGAACAAACTCGGAGGAAGACAGATGCAACTAACTCATTGTCACTGGGCCATATTTTGACAATGTTGGATGAATAGCTGGCTGATTTGTTCTTCTTTCCTCTCACTTGATTCTTTTTCTAGAACATGGGTGCACGTGTTGTAGAGTCATCCTGAGGATCATGGGAGCTACAGAAAAAAGTGTACCCATTTATACTGTTCAAAGCATATTATATGCAAGCGAGTTCAGATGTGGGTTTTGCTCCATATTTACTGGTGCTTAAAATGCACAAAATCAGGCTGTTAAAATGCAAAGACACTCATGGGCCATATGGAAGAGAGTTATCAAGAGTTCTCTGGGAAGACAGTCTGCCAGCCAGATTTTACTTGTTTAAACTGAGGGCTGCACTCTGCCGTCAAAATTGTTGTTGAACCTGTTGTGATGAATGGTAGTCTGAGACTTATGTAATGTATTCAAGGTCAGATTTTATTGTTTCAGTGGGACGGGAGGGAAAGAATCGAGCCGAGAGCTGCTTCCCCGAGCCCCTGCTAACGGTGCGCCAGGCCAGATAACAGCACTTTAAAACGAAAGTGACATTCTTGTGGATCCGAATCCCCAGTGCACTCTCACGGTAATTTGCTGTTTAATTCTTGTGCTTCAGGTGGTCGCAGCCGCCCCCCAGGGAGCTCCGCAGGGCGTCCTGCCCCCGAGAATCACAGCCCCCAGTGCGGACGCTCTGCGCTTGAGCTGGAGTGTCCCGGAGAAACCGAATGGGGTCATTCAGGAGTACCGGCTCAGGCAGGTCGGCAAAGGTCTTCTCTACACTGACGCCGCTGACAGGAGGCAGCATACGGTCACAGGTAACACCTACCGGAAGAGTCTGTCACTGTGGTTAGGGGGGCAGAGCCTCCCAGGGGTGAGGCTTTGATATATGAGGTCACTTCGAAAGGACGCGCTCTCTTGACATATGGTCAGATCCCACTTACCCACACGCACGGGAGAGCCCACACTGGCAGCCATCAGCCACAGCAGCAGACAACTTCAGAAATAATTTATACTTGGCTTTGATGTGCGTTCTTATGTGTAGCAGTTTTGCACCGGTGTTCACTCCCCGCCCCAAACGGTAAGATGCATCTTCATTCCCCAAGGATATACTCATAGATAATGGGACTAGGATAGCCAAGAATGTATTGGAAGGCAGAGGAAAATCAGCCAGAGGCTAGTATTTCTCTACTACATAGGTAATTAAAACACAGAATCGTCGACAGTTGACTAGTTGTGACAACTTGTTGTTATTAACATCGATTAATAATGGTATTATTTTGTATTGTTTATGACAACAGTTTATCTTTAATAGTGTAATAATAGTACAACATAACGTTAGATAATTACTGGCAGTGATTATGAGAATAATTAACACGGTTTAGCTTGAATGTCACTTCTGAAGCAGAGAAGTGTTTTCTTGCGCGCGCTGTCTGGCTTCCGGAACTTACCGCCGCATCGCCTGTTTTCATCATCGACTTCTCACTGCCGGGGGCTTTTTTCCCCCTATTTGACTTTTTACATTACCTCCCAGTGCAACGTAAGCTCTAGGAGAAGAGACCTTTTCTACCTAGTTCAACTCCATACCTCTAGCCCCTAGAACAATCCTTGACATGTCAGTAGGTGCTAAGTAAGTGTTTGTGGGAATAAGTGCATTTAATATGTGCCAACTACTGTCCTAAGCAACTGATAGGCATTATCTAGTGTGATTCTCATCACAAACCTGTGACTCTAGAGAATTACCACTCCCACTTTAAGGAAAGGGACTCTTTGAGAGGTTAAGCAACTTAGTTTCTTATTTAGATCTATTGAATCATCCCGAACACTTGCGGAGGCTTCGATTCTGAGACTATGGACAAGTGTTTGCAAACTTTTACTCTCTCCCTGCTGTCCCCAGCATTGGTTCACGGCCTCCCGAGGGAATGCCTTCTTCCCATTGGACCGCATGCCTTGCAGGGGCATGGGTCCCGGAGGGAATGAAGCTCCCAGAGAAGTGCGGAGGAGCCTGGTCCTAAGTGCCTGAGTCTGTTGGAGAGGAGGCACAGGTGGACCGACCAGTCTGTCGTGGTTCGTTCGGAAGTCCACAGTTCCCTGACACACCAGCAGGCGTTTATTGGCAGGTGGTCTTCCCTCTTCCAGAAGTCCGTAAGCTGCAGAAGATGCTTAATAAATATTTGGGGGCCAGCGCTTTGCATCCCTTGTCTGAAGGGCCTGTGCATAAATCCAGCATTGATGAGAATGGAGGTAGGGACAGCCCTCCTCAATTCAGAGGACCAGACGTCTCCCTTAATGTCTTCTTTTCGCTTAAAATGGAAACCATCACAAATAATTGAAGTAACATTGTCTTACATAACAGAACCTTACATTCAGCTGGTGCTTTATCACTTTAAAGAACCATTTGCATTCTGACTCATTGGATTCTCAACAGACCCCTGTAAGATTAAGTGAGGGATATTTTTAATACTCACTTTTGAAAGACCTGCTCGGAGTCTCCGGGCCCCAAAGGCCTCGCGGCCTCCATCTGCACAAAAGTCAGAAGGCTGTTTCATCCCACAGAAAAGAAAAAGTGTTGCCTGCTTGCTGTGTTCTAGAGAGCATACTGAGCGCTCTAAAATAATTAAAAGTTAGTGCTGCTCTTAAACTCCCAGTAATAGGGGCTAGCGACAAGTTCAGGAATAATGGCAAATACCATGGAACAGATGCTACAGCAGAACTCTGTACAGCCTGCAGGGAGCGCAGTTAAAAGAGCGGCCTGAAGTGGACAGTGGAATGTGAATTACAGAGTTTTGAAAGCCACGTTAAGGCACATTAAGACTTTGTACCAGTAAAGGTTTCACAAGAGGCTGGGATACTAGGTGAAGGAGTTTTCTCCCTCTTACAGTATCTGTCTATGTAGCTGGCATTGACTTTGAACTATGGCGAGCTCTACTGGTTTGCTTTTTTTTTTTTTTTTAAGAAATGAGCATTTATATGCCAACAGAGCAAATTCAACTGTAATGCTCAAATCAACAGGATTGATAGCCTCATTAATTATAAAAGAACTGCAAAGATTTTTTAAAAAAAATAAAAACCTTCATCCTACCAGTTCTTCTTTTTATTGTCATTTTTAATGGATAGTTTCACATCAAAGAGGATTTTATACACATAATTTGATGCCAGAATTCTCCTTTTATTAGAATAAATCCTTTCAAGTTTTTTCCACATAATTTGACTTTTTACGAAATTATGAAACAGAAAGAAGCCTTTTGAATCCATTAGGTCCATGTGTCCTGTTTCAGATAGATTTAGAGAGCATGTCCGTTGGGCAGCGCAGCCCTACAGAGAGAGTTCTTTGTCGCCTTGGATAACCTGAACCCTGAGATCCGTGTGGTGTGAATGCACTTTGTGTGCCAGGCGAACCTCCGCGCCACGGTAGATGACTGACCGAATCCAGTGCAGAAGTACTTTGCGATGTGAACGACTCTTTTACTGAGTTCGTGGAAGGAACTGGAATAATCAAACGTATTCCACGTTTTCTCTCAAATGTTTGACGGAAGAGCCGCCTGAACCCCTCGGGACAAATGCTCTGATTCTCTCATCATCGCCCAGCCCTTGGTGGTCCCTGTGTGGCAGCCGAGCGCTAATGAAGCTGTAGCTGCAGTCATCCTGGAGCCTGAGCTCCAGGTCCTTAGAAAGGACAGGGCACGCGCCCCTAGCCTCAGCCCCATTGTCTCCACGCTTATTTTTAATTACCTCGAAGCTTTAGAAACATGATCCCGCCAATGCTTTGTGGGAATAGCGGCGAGTGCACTCATCACGCGAAATCCATAAATTGCTTATAATCCTCTCAAGATGTTAAAAAAAGCATTAAGTAATTGGAGACAGGAAGTCCTCAGTTAATTATTTAGAGGTGCTATCAATGCTTTAAGTAAACCAGAGCGCTCTCCGCTATCTCACTGAGCGGAGTCCCGTGGGGAAGGAGGGGCAGCCACCGTCATTTTCTCTCAGTCGCTAATGCAAAGAGCACATGGCAGCTTGTCAATAAAAGACCTTTTCATATCCCTTATTACCACACACGGCCACCAGCCTGCCCAGAACAATCGGGATGGCCGGGATGGTGGTGTTTCACTTTGGGTTACCACTGCTCTGGGGGGTGGGGGCAGGGAAAAGGGATTAATGACATAATTAGGGCCACTGAGAACAATATGAATTAATCATGTCCTCTTTAGCAGCAGATATGATAAGGGCTTAGGTGTCTCTCAACTCTGGGGGAAATGTTTTCAAAAAATTCATTAAAAGTTGCTCCTCGTTGCATATTGCTTAAAAGGGAGGGCTCTCCAGCATTAGGTTACCCCAGAGAGAGCGGCTTGCCCTCCGCCTGCGTCCTCCAGGAAGCGCGCAGAGCCTCCCGTGCCGAAGCCAGGTCGGCAGCGCTGCTTACGGCAGGAGATGCAGTGTCAGCGCCGAAACAGCTCTCCTGCACGTCCCTTTCAGACAAAAAGAGAACAGTTTGCCCATCGACAGCACAGACTGTGGAAATTCTTTATACAGGGAGTTTACCTTGAGATAATTCTCTATGTTCGTCTTGTACCCTACATGCTCCTGGCATAGCGTTTATTTTACTTTGCTGCCATATCCCTTCCTCCTGTTTCTGCTCCTCAATTAGTAGGTAACGCTGTTTAAGGAGAGAGACAATAGCTTCCTGAGTGCCTTTGTATCGCTTAATGCTGTGATGGGTACTTATCACAGCAGTTAGCACGTATGAACTGTTCAAAATAGGAGCTGAGCAGTAAACTAGTATCTGAATGCCGGTATTCTCTTTTGATTAGGTGTAAAAATGACTCTGTCAAACATATCTAAATCTCAGGCAGGACGGGCCGCATCACATGCAGAGCTCAGGGCAAAATGAAACACAGGACCCCTTGTTAGGAAATCGTTAAGGATTTTGAGACGGTGAAAGCAGAGGACTGAATCCAGCGTGGGGTCATTCCAAGCCCATGCCCGGGAAGCCAGCCCCGGCCTCTGGCAGGGCGCAGGTTGCGTGGCGTAGTTTCTGTAATTGTCCTCAGGAGAGTTTCTGGAGCATCCCCTGCTGTTTCCAGTGCTGGGGACTGTGCTTCCCGATCCACTGCCAGACCACGGACAACCAAACAGCAGACCTGCGAGGCAGATAGGACAACTCACCTTATTTTAATTTTTCCAACTCTGAGGAAAGCGCTGTGCCTGACTATGTGGAAAAAAGAAAAAAGAAAACCAACATAGCAACAATCACTGTTTCTTACTTTCTTTAGGCATTCCTGTAGGTACGGTACTACGCCCAGAGATGTACAGTCAACAGCTGCCTGGACACTCATATTTAAAGGGAAAAAATCTCCCCCCGAAATCTCAGATTCCAAGGCACTTGTGCGACCGCCACAGTTTTGTCCTGACAGTGCTATCTGACTCTTGTTGTCCCTGTGATGTGTGTCCTTGCTGTCAAGTACCTGCGCAGAATCAGACCTGCCACCTGAGGCCACATTTAGTTTCTAGAGAAGGAAACTCTGCCTGAAAATGTAAGGTAACCAGGCCTCAGTTTAAGGCAACACCAGACTCCAAAGAATAAAAATGTGCATTAAAGTAGTGTTAGAAAAATGAAAAGCAAGGGTCTTTCTTTGAACTGTCTTAAAAATACTCGTAATGTTCATCTGTATTTGAAAAGAGAGCCTGCCAAGGACTTAACTCATCTAGGAAAAGCTTCTTGAGATGAATCCGATCACTAAGATATTAGAAAGAAAGGCCTATCCTATGACCTAGACTTCTGCATACAATATAGAATTAAGACTATTTTCTATCATCTCTT